TACCAGGCCAGCATAAAGTGTAACAAGTATCTAACACCTGATATGGCACAGGTGCCATTGTTTAGGGGCAGGGGTCGCGAAAGACACGCGCCCGCCACCTTGCCGCGACGCGACAGGTGAGCGCGGGAATTATTCGGGAAACGGAAATTGCGTTCATTGTCATCATGGCTGACATAAGGTTGTGACGTCACTGTCGTGGGCTGGCGAAATCATTTGATTTATGTTCTGTGGTCTGTGTCGGAGGTTTAGGGTTGGGTAATAGAATTTTTTACTGGTTGTAGATTTTTTTTAAATGCTAGTATATTAACATAAGCGTATATTGTGTACTAAATTAGGCAAACATCTCAGAAATTAATAAAACTATTTTTATTGAAAAGGATACCTACATAATTATATTGAAGATCTAAACCTAAGAAACCACAATACATTTTTATATTTTACGACTGACCACTGGACATTGTTCATTTTTCTTACTCACGTAGTGCATAGTGACTATTTATTATAAGAACAAGAGGTATGGGAAATACCTACCCTTTAGCGTTTCCTCAAGCCATAGCGTCGGCCGCCAGAGAGGCGCCTGCAACGGTCGATAGCACCTCAACCCTCGTATAACCCAACTAACTACAAATACCCCCATTCTCGGGAGAAAACTCTTCGAATAAACGCCTCTTCAAACCGATTGTATTATACAAAAAACAATACGATGAAAATAGAGAGTAGTGTTAACAGATTCAGTAAGTGCGTGTCGAATGTCGTCTACAATTTAATAGTATTGTAATATTGATGTCGAAATCGCTGCCAGATGTTTGATTGTTTATTTTTTTTTATATTTATGTGTTTTCCTTTTTCTTTTCAGTTGTGACTTTTTTGCCAGAATGGTTGTGGTCGTGGTGTGTCATGTAGCTTATTGTATATATAAAAGGACCTTCAATTAACTTAGGTGATACATACATAGAATACTAATCATATTATCATCATCACCAAGAATAACCACGGCTGAAAATGGAAACGCAGGAGCCGTAATTGACTCTACCATCATTATGCAGGTGATTTGAGGATCGCAGTTAAGTCACTCAAGAACTAGAGGATGCTGTTTGCTGTCTTTTGTTGGTTTATCAAAGTCAAAGTCAAGTCAAAGTCAAAATCATTTATTTCAATTAGACCAGGAAGGCACCTTTGAAAGTCAGCAATAGAAATTTAAAAGTGAAGCTATTTACCTACTCATTCCAAGGTGTAGATTCCTATGGAGAAAAAACTCCATAGGTTATCGGTCTTAAACACAATATTAACAGATATTCCTTAAACTGTCAAACACCGCGAGGTCACCGGTGACCGCAACCTATTGTTCTTTAATTGTGTCTATAATGACGGTACTCAAAGAGTTAAATTGTTATGTCTGATACCTGCTGCGTCTTTTCCCCATCCACCCTCACGACAGCATGTCCATCCTCAAGATATAGATGGTTGCCAAACCACAACTGTGCGGTTTTCTCGTAGCTTTCTGACTTGCACAACAAATGTAGTATGATCTGTCGTCGGCGGTATTTCCGAACCTATACGACCTTCAAACCTTTAAGAAAAGAGCGTAATCCTTTTTAAAAGGCCGGCAACGCACCTGTTACTCTTCTGGTGTTGCGGGCTTCCATAGGCGACGCTGGTCGCTTAAAATCAGGTAATCCGTCTGCTTGTTTGCCTCCTATGCCATAAAATAAAAACTTTTTATGAAATGGTGTCTAAGTTTTTTTATCCTGTATTTCACCAAACTCAACCTTGTCCCAATATCGGATGAAATCGGTACAAAACCTTGACATAAAACTAAGCTACGGGTACACTAGCCAAACTGCAATATTTATAGTTTAAATTTCTTACTTGGCATAAATAAGCTGACCTAATTTCTTTTAAGAAAGTACTCATTAGTTTTCTACATTGACTGTCTTGTTGGGCTTAGAAACACTCTTGAGAAATTCGTAATGATTTATAGCACATCTATATCATTTACATATTACCCACATACGACTAGACCAATAGCAACAATTTTCAATTATTACAAAATGTTTAACGCTTAATCAATCGAATACTAAAAGGATCTTCCCATGATTTTAATGAAAGTAAAATAAAAAATCTAAGAAACTATTCAACAAACCACACGCCATATTTCATTTCAATCATTTATCTACAGCATAGATGTCGTTAGCGTCGTTTTATTCACATCAAGACATCTGTGCGATATTGTAACAGCAGATGCGTTTAGCTGGCACATTGACAACATTCGGGGTAATATCTTTACATGCATAGTACATAGAGGTATATCAGTATGTTTGTACGTAACTACAAGCCATTGTGTCATCATAAAGTCCTGGAACTGCTGTTTATGTCCACCGTAGTACAGTAAATGTTAGCGGTATATTGAAAAAGTCATAAATAGTTCCCAGTTTGCAGCGAATGCTTACAATCTACCTTGTAAAGGGATATATGAAGATTGAATAACGTTCCATTCTATTTAATAGGCCACAAATAAGAAAAGGTGTTTGCAAACGATTGTAGTTTCGTTTTTGTACTTGTGGTAAGTAAGGGGACATTTTTAAATAAGGTTATGGGGATGTAGGTTGGAGGTATATAGCCTGTTGTGTAGTTCTCTGTTCTCTGGGTATAACTATATAAATATTGCTATTGAATAGTAGTATTATTTCTTTTCTGTTCTTTATTCTCTGTTAGTATACCTAATTGCGTTTCTAAGTGCGAAAAGTATGACGCCTAAACAGATTTCGGATTCAAAACGCGGGCAAAGTAAATTAAGTTAATTACTTAAAGGCCGATTTTTCCTACGCCAGGTTAATTTTGAATATTTGACTGTAACAACATAACATAACAACATAATGTCACACCTTTTATCCCCGAAGAGGTAGGCAGAGGTGCACATTATACCATTGTACAATGTAACACCCACTTTTCACTATTTATGTTATGAGCCCCATGTAATAGGGGGTGAGCCTATTGCCATATAGGTACCGGGCACAATTCCAGACTCCGTGCTACTACTAAGAAATTTAAGAAAAGCCCAGTAATACTTTGCCCGACCCGGGAATCGGACCCGAGACACCTAGCCCCGGCAGTCGCATTCGCGACCACTCGGCCAACGAGGCTTTGACTATACTTCCATACAAAAAACTGTCAAACGTCAATTTTATACCTACCACAGTTCAGAATTATTTTGTTGATTGATAAATCAGCCCTAATTAAGTAAAGGAGGTAATAATATCACGAAGTCTGAAAAAATATCGGCAGTACATAAAAATTTATCAAAAATACCTCGTTTTTTTTACTTTTTTTTCAAAAACAATTTACATTGTGTGTGAATTAAAGCTTAAAACTAATAACACAAGTAGTACAAAAAGAGAAAAAAAACCACATTTCTTAAATCGAATTACAATTAAAATTATTGCTAAAATACTGATCTCATAACGACAAAATTTATGTGACACAACTACATTAATACATTGATACACTGTTCAATAAGTATGCCCAATACAATACAATACATGTCATAAAATCAAATCTACTATCAATGTCAATAAAAAAGATCAATATTAATACAAAGTAGGTAATTATAATGTCAACAGAGAATTATCATCAACAATGTCAAAGAAAAAACAAAAACAAAAAGGTACCCAAAAACAACGCAGAACCAAATCAATTATTAAATAACAATTTAAAATTAAAAAAATAAAATGCGGTATTTACGACTATGACTAGACCAAGAAATTCGACCAGTAGTCTCCCGCTAATAATTCAGTAATTCCATAACTGCTAACCATGTTAAACGTCACAATAAATTATGTAAAACGTTTCGTTAAAAATATTGCAATTATAACCTAAAATAATGGGCCCAACTTGAGTAGGCCCAAGAACAGTAGCCAGCACATCAATCTATACTTTTCTGACAAATTTCTCTATCACATCTTGAACTTTATTGTAATGATATAAAGACGAAAATCCAATAAATAAGTTTGACAAATTGAGTAGGTTGATTTGATGGTATCTGCTACTGGTTATTCCGTTTCATGTATTGCAACTATTAAATGATGCTAACCAACGTTTTGTAGTCAAAACATTAAGTTAAGACGTATAAGGAACGGTATTCCGCTGTTTAAATTGAATATCAAAATAAAAATGCATCAATTTATTGGTATTCGATTTGCTTCTTTATTTGTTGGAGACAGATTATTCATTGCCAATATTAATTGTTGTTGTTAACTGCCACGTGTGCGTAAAATGCTTGTTTTTTTATAGATAGGTAAAGTTCCAATACGATTTTGGGTTTATTTACGTATTCAAATAGTTTTATATTAAGGTATGAAGTTGAAGATCCACTTGATGACAGGTAGACACCGTAACTTAAGTAGGTACCTACTAATGCGTTGCGGACCATGTAATGAGTTAGTTATGTGTTCTGGGGAGTATGATTTCCCAAAAATGGTGGTCTGTTTTACAGTATCCATGCATATATTTTAAAAAAATCCAAAGTATGTAGTTCTGTTGTAGTTTCCAAACGTAAATAAATAAGCACGATAACTAGCGCCATCTATGAAATGTGTTAGTAAATGTTAGTTCCTCTTGTTATCCTTGTTTCAGCTACTCGACATTAGATGGCGATATAGTGTCGTAGTTACATAACGCTAACACTGTCGTTGTTTCGTAGATGAATGACAAGTGTCATTATCTCTCACAAAGTGTAGCCATGTGTTTTAAATGACGTAATTTTTTTATTTTTGTTGAAACATAATTGTAATCGGGAGTCAATAACACGATTATTTGTATTAAAAATAGCCTATTGTAGTGTAATATTCTATATATAGCATAGATATCATTGCCGGGCTCTGATAAATTATATTTAAACTCTATCATTTGATATTTTCGAGTATAAATATAACATCAAAAGAATTGATCTTCAATTTATAAATTCGCGATTTGTGTAATCAGTTGTATTAATTGTCCGCAAGATGTCGCTGAAACGAGTTCTTATTGTAAATAAATCATTCCCGGTCGCCGGTTTAGAACTTTTGAAAAACAAGTGAGTAACATTGAATTATTTTTAATTTGTTCCTTTTGTTTTTCTTCTTCTTTATTATTCTATCTTTTAGCATCAAATTATTATGTTTCATTATTATTTTACATCAAGAAACGGTTCGATTCTCAGGTCAGGTTACGTAGTAACCAGAGGCGTACCTACCTATTGTTTACAGTGTTTCATAGATATTTTCTTTCAGCTTCGGAAGCTGAAATTGCCATGCCATTGTTTTACCATGATTGTCTGGTTTACCGTCTAATGATGAAGGGTTCAAGTTTAGAAGTTTTAAGGAGGATAGATATTCAGCTGGCTTTTTCCTAAATCTGCCTTATGTTATTCTATTGTATGAAAATTATACCTACTTATCTCGTCTGAAGTGCAACTGGTTGAAAACATCTTTTTATGCTTTTACTTTAATCTTCCTTGTTTTAATATTATTCGTTATCGGCTTGTATTCGTAGCTATCGATATTAAATGCTGAGAACCATCCAAATTTGATTTCAGTCATCTGAAACTCCAACACAGATTAATTCCTAAGTATGGATGGGCTCATCTTGTACCTAATTACCTACGACTCTTCCGTTTCGACAAAATAAAATTTAAACTTAAAAAAACTTCTTAGGTAATTATTATGTATGTCAGTAAAAATACACATAATTTAATAAATATCACTGCACAACTAAAATTGAACCATAAAGGAAATATAAAATACCTACTAAATTAATAGAAAACCAAATTCACAATCAAAGAGTAACCTATGGTGTTGCTTAGGTACTCGTTCTTCTCCATAGGAATAAGCAAATACATAGATTCACTTTTAATTTTTTGTTGACGTTCAAAAGTACCTTCCTGGTCTAATTGAAATAAATCATTTTAGCTTTGACTTTGAATACCTAATACTTAAAAACAAGATTATTAATTAATGAGTTCTTACAGAGTTGAAGCGGTCGTGCTTCCGCACTTGGACTACGAAGCAGAGAGCTTGCCGAATATCAAAAACAACCTCAAAGGATTCGACGCTTTAATATGGAACACCAAACACAAACTTACTGGAGAATTATTGGCAATAGCAGGTAAGAAAGAATAACAAGGTTTGTCAGTCTTTCCCTGGTCTTTATGAGGCTGTTTAAACTGTCAAACACCGCGCGGTCACCGGTGACCGCAACCTACTGTTCTTTATTGTGTCTATAATGACGGTACTCAAAGAGATTGATGAACTTTGAAGATCGATTGAGAATTCCAAGTCCATTTTACAATCTATTAGGTTTTATTAAAAAATATACCTACCCATTTTATTTTTCCGTAGTTTAAATGCCTGTTATAAAAAAGAATGTAAGTATATTCTTCTGTATTCTCTTTTACACCGTCTCTCAACATCGTCTATTGGGAAGTTCATAAACAAAATGAAGCCAGACCAAGAAACCAAAATACAAATACCTACTTCTTACGTATGTTTGTTTGTTACTCCTTCACGTGAAAAAGGCTGAAGGGATTGAGATGAAATTTAGAAAAGGGATAGATTATGCTCTGAAATAACACATGGGGCATTCTTTTTTCACACGTCGTGTGGGTGAGGTTACCGGAGGCCCAATTACCCTACCCTTACCTAATCTCCCCAATTCCTGAATTCCCACCGATCCTCAAACTTCTAATCCCCAAAAGGCCGGTAACGCACTTGTAACGCCTCTGGTGTTCCAAGTATCCATGGGCGACGCCGATTGCTTACCATCAAGTGATCCGTCTGCTCGTTTACCGGCTTATGCCATAAAAAAAACACGGGTAAGCGGGCGAAGCTGCTGGCAAAAGCTGGTTTGACAATAAAATCTACATAAGCTATGAAATTATTTATTTTCTTAGGACCTCAACTAAAAGCCGTATCAACAATGGCGTCAGGCATCGACCACATCGACGTCGCAGAGATCAAGAAACGTGACATTCCATTAGGAAATACTCCACAAGTATTAGATGATGCTGTCGCAGATATTACTGTTGGACTTATCATTGCTGCTGCAAGGAGGTTCAAGGAAGGAGTTCAGGAGTTGGAGGCGTGAGTTTCTGATTCATTCCTATTAAAAAATCATCTTTGTTTGATCGTTGAGACTCGTTCATTATCATTGTCATCGGCACAAGACATCCACTCTCAAGACCTCCACACATTTTCTTCACTGACGCATTCAATCATGTAGCTAAACTATCTTATACTAATATGGGTTACATACACATGTATAAAATCCCATTCACAATATTTCATTCATTCATGCAATTCATTTACTTGGATATGGTTTTCCATTTTTGCGAAATATTTTTCCGCAGTTTTGGTAGTAGTTGACTGCCTCGTTGGCCGAATGTTCGCAAGTACAACTGCCGGGCAAGGGGCTTGGGTCGGGCATAGTATAAGTTTTTATAAAAATATGTCAGTGGTAGCACGGAGTCTGCAATTGTGCACGATATATGGCAATAGACTCACCCCCTATTACATGGGGCTCATAACATAAATAGTTAAGTGGGTGTTACATTGTACAGTGGCATTAAGTGCCGTAATGCGCACCTCTGCCTATCCCTTCGGGGGTAAAAGGTGTGATTTTATGCTTTGGGAGATCAAAACAGAACGCTGATCTCTACCAGCATTTCTGTTTGACGCTTACCTCTAAAACATACTGCACTAATTAGTACCTAATTGTAAATAATTAGCTTTTTACGTACCACTAATTGCCTGAACTGTTGGTTACAACAATTTATGAAAACTAACATTCCATCCGTAGTTTAGAATTTCTACTTCATTCGCAGAGTAAATAATAAAAATAAGTGTTTCACCATAAATAGCACTCAGTAGTCGTAAATACATAGGTACTACTGATATACGTAATTAATTTAATCAAATAACAAACAGATGATAATAATCAGTAGCTGTGATAGCAAGTCAGAAGTGTCCTTAGAAATAGTTGTCAAAGTAAGAAGTGATATTACATTTGCATATTAGACCGAAATCGTAAGCAGCGCCCCTAGCGGAAAAACGCCAAAACCTGACTGATTTGTTTTACGGCTGGGTTTGATTAACCCGTGATAGGTCGGGAATGTAGATCTGCGCAAAACACAATGTATTTTCTATTGTGTCTCATATACATGCACTCAAGTCAAGAGATTAAAACGAATTTTTTTCTATATCTTTGTTTTTGCTCCACGATTATGTATTTGATCCACGCCCTTTTTTGGCTCCAAAGTAAAGAGTATTTTGTCCAGAAACTACTAATGCTACAAGACCGTCATATTGAGCAGATCACTTTTCACTCCAAAACATTTCCATAATACTTCAGGTTAGGTCACCATAAAGTTGTCTTAAGTAAAATGTTATATTTGTCCTGATTCCAGAGGCGAATGGAAGTACGGTGTCCAATGGATGGTGGGGCAGGACATTTCTGGCAGCACAGTTGGGATCGTGGGCTTCGGGGGTATAGGACAGGCAGTGCTCCGAAGATTGAGGGGGTTCGATGTCGCTAAATTCCTGTATAGTGGACGCAGTGACAAGCCTGAAGGTAAGAAGAGATAGAGAAAGTGAAAAATATAGTGAAAAATGGAGAAGTAAAAAATACCTCTATAGGTTTCACAAATCACCCATACCTACACCCATTTAGGTCTTGATATGTCATCTCATAATGTCTTATAACTGACACAATCGAGAGATTGTCGGTACATCTCAAGACTGGTAGATATTAATCTAGAATGTTCTAGAATCAGTGAGTCATATTTGATAATAAAATCTACAAAAAGTTCCATAGTGCTTAGTTCCAGTCTAACTATGATGCAAATGACGAAAAACGATGCAACACAATAAATTCAAAATACAAACATACTACTCGTAGCAAAAGAAGTATCTGTTATCAACAAAATTATCTTACATTATGAGCCTGATAAAGAATTTGTCACAAATATTGACTAAATAATACTATATCTACGCTTTGATGTCAAGCATAATTATCTCATTTAGATAACCCAATAGATAGCAACAAATAAAAAGTCATAGTCGTCTAAAATGACTTGTTAATTGTTAACAAGTTGAGTTAAGTGGGGTCCAAAGATAGATATGAATTTCGTGGTCAAAGAGACATATATCACATCGCAGCCGTATCTGCACTATTTCGTTTGTTCCTGAATAATTTAAGTGCTAAACAATTTTTTATACAGCCAGTGTTTAGGCTCGATCAAAGACGAAAATGTAATGATAATGACCCTATTTACGAACTTATAACTAGTTATAACGGGATTATATAATCTGATGGAAAAAAATCAAATGAGCATCATTGCGTTGATGTAAAATAATCTAACAGATAATGCATTATCTTACCTTTTCCATACGTAATCTTTATAGAAAAATTGTTTGCAAGTACTTATATGTACTACCCATGAGCCATTTAAAAAAATGACTTTTTGCATCTAGCTAGGTACTGGTAACCCAAACCCAATAATTAAGGAAATTTTAGTGCCCTAATCGCAATCAAGACGGGTAATCTCTTGTGATGGCTTAAAGAAGAAATTATCCAGTACATCTTAACAATAATGGTGCTATAGACCCCTTAACATGAATGCGGGATGTCTACAAACACTAGTACACTTTAAACATCAATAACAATAAAAGATGCAGGCCTAATTGGATAGTCCCCAGGGTATCAAAATTTAAAATCTAATTAGTCCGTCAGTTAGATAATGAAAAAATATTAGATACGTATTTTTTTTATTTTGTCGTATTAAGTTGCAATACTTACATAAAATGGCGCTAAGTTTAGGAGTGGGAGGTCGTTACGTCATAACGTGCTTCAAAATGTGACACGCTGTGACGTCACACGATATTTCTAATGAATATATCGTCGAAAGTATTTAATTTTGTGAGAAAACAAAAAATACATGTTTAATGTTATAAATTAATGTATCAGACGGACATTAAAATAAAATTTAGGAAATTACCCTATTGTTTGCTCTTCTTTTAAAGCAAAAACCTTGGGAGCGGAACGAGTGCCACTAGACCAGTTGCTAAGGGAGAGCGACTTCGTGGTCCTCTCGTGTCCCCTTACGAAGGAGACCAGACATCTGATCAACACTGAATCACTCAAGACAATGAAGAAGACCGCTGTAGTCGTCAATATCGGGAGAGGAGGTAAGGTGCTGAGAGGGAATCCGAAAATTTGTTAAAAAGACCATTTAATTTAATTTGTATTGCATGTAGCTCAAAAAATTTGTCCATTCCTACCAGTTGTGCTTTTGGGTGGTGTGTAAATAAGATCTGATGCTTATTATGGTCGCAAGTGCGAATATCAGGCAAAGGGGTCTCGGGTTCGATTCCCGGGTCGGACAAAGTATTACTAGCTTTTATAAACAAATTCCCAGTAGCACGGAGTCTGGAATTGTGCCTAGTATATGGCAATAGGCTCACCCCCTATTGAATGGGACTTATAATATAAATGGTGAAAAGTAATGCACTGTGCACCTCTGCCTACCCCTAGGGGATAAATGGTTTGATCTTATGTTATGTTAGTTTTAAAATAAACTTTGACTGATCTATCTCAAATTCTCAACCAATCTCAACCCTAATAGATGATGATGCCTGGTAAATTCTCCTGCATAAACAAATATCCAAGACACTTATTTCAAGGGGTGCGGTGCCAGAAGACCTCCCCGTGGTGCACCCTGGGTGCGGGCGACAGTCTCCCTAGCGGGGGTGATAGGGTAGGAGTGACTGTCGCCCGCAGCAGACTTCTGGACTGGGCGGGCGAACCCGATAGGGTTCTGGAGGCGGCGGGCTGTGTGCGGAGGCTCATAGCCCGCGCTTCCGAGGGGCGTTTCTCCGCCCGTCTCTCTGGACATAGCAGAGAGCGTGGCGTAGAGGCAAGGGCGGTGCTCGTTGTGCACTCACCCTGCCAGCGAGCAGCATCGGGACACAAGCTGTCCCCGATTGCAGCCGTCGATATCGTAATCCGTAAGGAGGTCACGGTCATGTTTTGTGACTCTGAACGGGACGAGGGTCTTGGCTTGGTCGCCCGGACCGCGAGGAAGATAACCTCTATAAAAAATTCCTCCAATACTAAGTTCTGGTGCGCGGCGAGAGTATGCATGGCTGAGGAGTAGTGTCAGTCGCGAGCGCACCCCCAGCTAGGGGACCAGTGGAACCTCTAGTTGGGAAACAAATGAACACTTACCCAGGTACAGGGGGCACTGCCTGGGTGGACCGAATATTTCCCCCATACTCGTGGGAACTGTATGGAGAAAGCAAAATAAAAAAAAAAACCACAACTGTCGGAGGAGGAGAGTGCGGGTGAGCTTGGCTCACCTGCAGACGTAGTAGAGGGGAGCCCAAGGGGCTCTGGCGCCCGTGGGGAGACGCTGGACACATCTAGCATGCCCCACACACGGGCATCAATTACGATGGTGTCGGACCCTGAGTCCGACACATCACTGGCGGATCGGCTGAGCGTGAGCTCGAAGGGCTCACGCCGTCGCGTGACGGGGACGTTTAAGCGTCCCAGGCTGGAGGAGGACGCTTCGTCCCCGTCCTCCGGCGCGCAGGCGCCTCCCCCTAAAGTCCCAACGGCGGCGCGGGGTAGGGGCGGCAAGGGCGGCGGTCGCCGGAAACCGGCACCAGTTGCCTGCGTGGAGTCAGCCGAGCAGCTGGCTGCGGAGGGCAGGGCTCTCTCGAGCGCTGCCCGTTCAGAGTCCTCCGCAGCCGAGATGTCCGGCGTGGAGGTTTCGGAGGGCGAGTCGGGCTCCGAGAGCGCGAGCGGCTCCGGGCACCTCCGACAGGCCATCACGGAGGTGCTCCATAAACTGGCTATGGGGAAATCCCAGCCGGTTAGGCTCTCCCTCCTCAGGGCGGCGGTGGCCACTTACGGAGGCAGCCTTGGAGCAGTGCGCGGTGCCCACTGCAGAAAAGGTGCGCTCCGAGCTGGGCGAGATGCGGCGGGAGCTGGCGCGCTTGGCGGCCTCCAATGCGGCCCTGGAGGCCGAGCTGCGGACGGCCAGGGCCGAGCTCGCCGCTGCTCGCGGCAGTCCCCCAGCCCCCGGCGGAGTCCGACGTAGTCGGACTGCTGCGAGCGGAGATGGCTGCCTTCCAGCGACGTTTTGACGTGCTGGAGGGCAGGCTTTTGCGCCCCCCGCTCGCATCGAGCCGGGCCTCCCCGCCCGCGGCATCGGGCTCATACGCGGCTGCTGTGGCCAAGCCTCCGACCTCCACTGGTCAGGCTGGCCGCGGCCCCCAACCGCCGGCAAAGGCGCGGGCGCCTCCTCCCGCGAGGCCCTCGGCGCCCCCGCCGGCGCAGACCCCAGCTGCGCCGATGGCGCCTGCGCCCATGAGGCGCAAAAAGAGGAGGGACACTCCAGCCCGGCAAGCTGGAGTTGCAGCAGCGGCGGAACCCGCCCCGCGAGTGGAGGACGGCGGCGGTTGGCAAATCGCCGGCGAGGCGAGGAGAGTCGCCAGGGAGGGCCGAAAGCGCCGCAAAAAGGCGCAGCGGCAGCGACGGCAGCAGCAGCGCAGGGAGAAACGCGCTGCTGCCTTGCTCCTCGCCCCTAAGACCGCGGCTGTAGTTATTACACTGCAGCCCGAGGCGGTCAATAGGGGCGTTACCTATGGTGACGTCCTCGCCAAGCTCAAGGGGGCGGTAACACCTGCGGAGTTCGGGGCCCCGGACGGGTTTGCGGTCAAGGTGACCGCTACCGGAGCCCGTCTACTGGAGGTCCCCGGCGCGGCCAGTGGCCCGTCGGCCGACGCCCTGGCTGAGAGGCTTAGGGCGTGCCTCGGGGCAGACGAGGCCCGCGTGTCCAGGCCCACCAAATGTGTGGATGTCCGGATATTGGGCCTGGACGACTCCGTCACGGAAAGTGAGGTGGTGGCCGCTGTGGCCAGGACGGGAGGGTGCCCTGCTGACCAGATCAAGGCGGGCACCATCCGTCCGGACAACTCGGGGCTGCGCACGGTGGTGGTGAGCTGCCCCGTCACAGCGGCCAAGAAGCTGAAGGAGGGCAAAAGGCTCTTGGTGGGATGGGTCTCGGCGCAGGTAAAGCTGCTCGAGACCCGGCCTCTGAGGTGCTACCGTTGTCACGTGGGGGAGCACGTGAGCGCCAAATGCACCTCAGAGGTGGACCGCAGCGACTGTTGCTTCCGCTGCGGTCGGCCCGGTCACAGGGCCGGCTCCTGCACTGCCCCGCTGCACTGCAACGCATGTGCGGCGGCTGGCAAGCCGGCCAATCACCGGGTCGGGAGCAAGGGCTGCTCCCCTCCTGCCAAACCCAAGGGCAAAGGTAGGCCCTCCGCCACCCCTGCCGTTTCCGCCGCCGCCGCCGCCACTGCCGCCGCAGTCGCCGCTGCCGCTACTGAGGAGATCGGAATGGACTGTCAATAATGGCTCCATTCCGCCTCCTCCAGGCGAATATTAACCACTGCGCCGCTGCTCAGGATCTCCTGCTCCAGAGCATGGCGCAGTGGTCGATCAATGTCGCCGTGGTCTCCGAGCCGTACTTTGTCCCGCCCAGGGATCACTGGGTGGCGGACCTGGACGGCTCGGTGACCATCATCTCATCGGCCGCCGCCGGTACCCCGACTCTTGAGGCAGCTCAAAGAGGCCGGGGTTGTGTCGCAGCACGGTTCGGAGAGCTCGCTGTGGTGGGCGTGTACTTCTCTCCGAACCGAACTCTCGCCGAGTTCCACAACTCCTTGATGGAGTTGGTCACAGTCGTCGTCGGGTTCCGTTCCCTCCCCGTGCTCGTCCTCGGGGACTTCAATGCCAAGAATTTGGCTTGGGGTTCCCGGTTCACCGACGTCCGGGGTAGGATGGTGGAAGACTGGGCCCTTGAGGCAGGCCTAGTCGTCTTGAACCGGGGTTCTGTCCCTACGTGCGTGCGGATGCAGGGCGAGTCGGTGGTGGACATTTCGTTCGCCAGCCCTGCTCTGTCACCACGTATCGTTGACTGGCGTGTCATGGAGGAGGTGGAGACGTACTCCGACCACCGGTATATCCGGTTCAACGTCTCCGCCGAGTCCGCGGATCCGCCGGTCAGACAGGCCCCATGTGGCCCGCGTTGGGCGCTGAAACAGCTGGACCGGGAGCTGCTCCTGGAAGCCGCCATCGTGCAGGCCTGGGTGATACCACCGGTCAGGCCTGCCGACATTGACGATGAGGCCAAGTGGCTCCAGGACGCCATGTCCAGGATCTGTGACGTGGCGATGCCCCGGATCCGGTCGAGGCAACAAAAGCGCCAGGTGTACTGGTGGTCGCAAGAGCTGGCAGCTTACGCAAGGCGTGCACTGCTGCGCGACGCCAGTACACTAGGCACCGCAGGCGCCGTCTCCGTCCTCCAAATGCGGAGGCGAGAGAGGCGGAGTTGTATGAGGGATACAGGGCGGCGAAAGCCGTCCTCAAGGCGGAGATATTGCGGGCCAAGGAGGAGGCCCGCCGGGAGATGCTGGGGACTCTGAATAGAGACCCGTGGGGACGCCCGTACCGCATGGTACGCGACAAGCTTCGCGCTTGGGCTCCCCCGCTCACTCAGAGTCTCCGGCCAGAGGTCGTTGAGGAGGTAATTGGCGCCCTGTTCCCCCGGCTGTGGAGGGGCTTCACCCCTCCGTATATGACTCCGCCCCCTGCGGTGCCCGACGCGGGCTATAGCGACGACGACGACGACATCGTCCCAGAGGTGACCGAGGCAGAACTGAGAGCGGCGGTGCGCCGGATGGGCGCCAAGAACACCGCCCCAGGACCCGACGGCTTGCATGGCAAAGCATGGGTCCTGGCCTCAGAGGCTCTCAGGCCTCGATTAATCGGTCTCTACAGCGCATGCTTGGAGAGAGGCCAGTTCCCGCTGCTCTGGAAAGCGGGAAAACTGGTCCTCGTGCGGAAGACGGGGCGCCCTGCGGACTCTCCGTCCGCGTACCGGCCCATAGTGCTGCTCGACGAGGTGGGGAAAGTCTTCGAAAGAATCATTTCGAACCGCCTCGTCGCGCACCTGACGGATATTGGGCCGGACCTATCGGACGGCCAGTTCGGCTTCCGCAGAGGGCGCTCCACGGTGGACGCCATCATGCGCGTTAGGGACCGGACGACGGGGACTGCAGTGTCCAGGGGTAAGGTCGTAGTGGCGGTGTCTCTGGACATCGCCAACGCCTTCAACTCCCTGCCCTGGAGCTGCATCTTGGAGGCACTCCGATATCATCGGGTGCCTACCTACCTCCGTCGTGTAATCGAGGCATACCTGACGGACAGGTCCGTCATCTACCCCGGTCACCGGGGCGAGTGGAACCGGCGAGAGATGTCACGCGGTGTTCCACAGGGTTCGGTTCTGGGGCCGCTCCTGTGGAACATCGGTTATGACTGGGTGCTGCGCACCGACCTCCCGAACGGCGTTAGCATGATATGCTACGCCGACGACACGCTGGTGCTAGCGCACGGGAGGTCGCACCAGGCGGCGGCCGATTTAATGGCGACAGCGGTTGCGACAGTCGTTGAGAGAATCCGGCAGTTGGGACTCGAGGTGGCGCTCCACAAGTCCGAGGCCATGTGTTTTCATGGCCGCGGGAATGCGCCACCTCCTGGTGGGTCTCAAATAATGGCGGGAGGGGTTACCATCGGCGTCGAGACGGCGATGAAGTACCTGGGACTCGTCCTCGACAGTCGATGGAACTTCGTGGAGCACTTCCGACGTTTGGCTCCAAAGTTGGCGAGGGTGGGGGCTGCGTTTAAGCGCATCCTCCCCAACCTCGGGGGGCCAAACGCCTCCTGCCGGAGGTTATACGCCGGGGTCGTGCGGTCCATGGCCCTCTACGGCGCCCCTGTTGGGCGCCGAACCTGCTGCAGCGGCCCGCTCGGGCGCTGCTTATGGCACAGAGGGTCATGGCGATCCGAATGATCCGCGGATACCGCACGATCTCTGGGGAGTCGGCGAACCTCCTTGCCGGATTACCGCCGTGGGATCTGGAGGCGAAGGTGCTCGCGCGCGTGTATCGCATGCGCGCGGAGGCACGTCGCCGGGGCGAAACTCCGCTGCCGCGCCAGATAAGTGCGTGGCGGGATGAGCTCCGGCGCGATCTCATGGCGGAATGGCAGCAACGACTGTCGCAACCGAGGCTGGGCTCGCTGCCATTGCAGCGGTAAGTCCCCTCTTTGAGGAGTGGCTTGAGAGACGCCGACGGCGTCCTCACCTACCGCCTGACGCAGGTCCTCACCGGACATGGAAGTTTCGGGAGGTACCTGTGTCTGATGGGGCGGGAGGAAACGCCCGGGTGTCATCACTGCGAGGGCCGCTCTGAGGACACGGTGGAACACACTGTTGCGGAATGCCCTGCGTGGGCTGAGCACCGCCGTGCCCTCAGGGAAGTGATCGGCGATGGAGACCTCTCGCGTCCGGGCCTAGTTCAGGCCATGATGCGGAGCGAGGGGGACTGGGATGCCGTCTCCTCCTTTTGCGAAGCAGTCATGCTGGCTAAGGAGGAGGCGGGACGCGCGAGGCAGCGAAGCGCTGCCTCCTCGCAACCCAGCCATCGCGAAGGACACACCGGGCGTCGGGGATCGCGGGACGATCTCCGGCCACCGTAAGCGCGGGCCTGCGGACGGCGAGCATGGGTGGCTCCCCGTCCGACCAGAAACAGACCCGAGCGTACGGCGCGTCGCGTTCCGCGCGCGCCTCAAAGAGCCATCAGACCACCACAGATGGGGCCCAATAGGGCCGATGCCGATTCGGAGTCGCGGAGAACCTAACGGGTAACCGGGGCTCCGGCTCGACGTGCAGGAGAAGGAACGGGGTGGTTTTTAGTCAGTAAGAGTCTGACACTCCCTTCCGCCTCACCCAGGCGGGAGCAGTCATTCGATGATTTTCCCCCCTTAAAAAAAAAAAAAAAAAAAAGACACTTATTTCAAAGTGGTAACATGGTAAGAATGAGAGAAGAGAAAATAACAGAATTATTATTTTTAAACAACTTCTTTACGTGTTTCAGAGTTAATAGACCAAGAAGCTTTATACAATGCTCTGAAAGAGAAGCAGATCTTCGCAGCAGGATTGGATGTCACTACTCCAGAGCCATTAAAGAACGACCATCCTCTTGTCTCTTTGCCGAACTGTTGTAAGTATAATCAAAACTAATATTACAATAGGGCTATAGAGTAGGTACCTATGCGACGGCAAACGAGCAGACAAAACCTGATGGTAAGCAATAGTCCATGGATTGCGGGTGCAACACCAGTGGAGTTACCTACAAATTCGTTGGGAGAGGCTGATTGGGCTCCCGGTAGCCTCACTCACGTGGTAAAACACGGTTTTGTGTGAGGCCATATAGTATTATTGCAACAAACAAACAAAGCATGATTTTCGCATGTAAAACTTTTAAGATAGGTACTGGCTAAAAATGGGTCTTTGATATTATTCTGCTTACATACCCCTTTAGGGATCAAAAGACGTGTATATCATTTTTCCAATTCATCCATCTTTGCAAGTACTATTAATGTAAATAATTTGATTGTACCTAATTTGTTACAAGTAATTTTTTCTCTTTTCAGACATTTTACCCCACATGGGTAGCGCGACAGTTGACACCAGAAACAAGATGGCGTCTATATCAGCACAGAACGTATTATTGGCACTAGAAGGAAAACCTATGCTGTTTCCTTGTTGATGATTACTATCATTATTTTGTTTAGAATGAATTATGCATCGATTGTAATGTAATAAGAACTATATTTTATTATCAATAAACTATACCTAATTACTTCTTCTATCTCTTCATTTATTGGAAACACAAATAAGTTTACAATTCACCTTAATATTCAGACCCTAACTGATACAATTTTACTTTTTGCAAACTCAATATCAGACAAGAGCGGTGGGCAAAACTTACTACTGGGTGGAGCCCACTCGAGGTCAATAGACGTCGCGGCAGGCCCAAAAGAAGATGGCGAAACGAAGTAGACATTTATGACAAGGATTGGTCGCACTGCAGTGGGACGATAAAGACTGAAAAAAAAACTCAACATCAATGGTCACCTAAAACATTAAGTTAGGTTTTGAGGTTTGGGGATTTGGACACTGAGGGGGAGAGAAATTAAGCCTCCGGTATACACGATACCCGATATGATACTGCGGACGATAGACAGTATCCTATCTATTTCTTAGATTGTCAACTTATAATAATCTATATTGAAGAGATTGAATTACCTACTACCGACAATAATAGAGTGAGTGAGTCTTAGAGTAAAACGCTATAAAAGTATTGTCGTAAACAGCCCTGTGAATGTCCAAGGCTAAACTATTTCTGTTATACAAACTCGTCAAGGTCTTACATGAACTTGTATGGCCTCTCTTATTTACTAAAGTAGCCAAAAATAGCCAACAAGACCCCTTATTATTCTGCCTCCGAAGAGATCAACAGAGCGGTATGCCTAATTATGAATGAATCCTAAGACCGATACCAGCCAGTTATATTGTAAACGGTATCTTATCAATCTATTGCTTAACTTATCGTTAAGGGGTAAATCGGTAATTAAGACATTTTGTAATAACGACCCCTGTACCGAAAGAACGAGTGCAAAATCATGAACGTGTGCAAAAATGAGGTAATGTTTTATTTAAAGTACTACTTCAAAAAGTTGCCGTATTTAATGAAATGAGAAATACGATATCATATTTAGGAGTACTTGTCGAGATTTCAAGGTGGGTTAAGATCTGTCTGACGAATGCACAGCGTGCAGCCGATGTGTGAAGAAAGCTGTTTTCCTTAACCACATCCATAAATTACGCCACATGTTGGAGTATGATGTATAATGGTATGCAAAGGTAGCACATAGTCCAGTGGACTGTAATGGGCTGATAGAGATGTTGACTTTTTTTAAGGATGGGTAATCATCGAATGATTTCACCCGCCTGGGTGAGGCGGAATGGAGTGTCAGCCTTTTACCGACTAAAAACCACCCCGTTCCTACTCCTGCCCTTCGAACTGGGAACCCGTTAAGTACTCGATAAATCACATACAAATTCATTCAACTACACGTATATAGTTACTTGAGCTACCTGACGGTACTACCAAGGTGTTCTGTTACGAGTAAAAGTAATTAAGTAGTTTTTACGTTTGAGAGCAACCTTTTTATATACAATTTTTATCTGGTCTGTTACCTAGTAGTTATTTCTTAGTTATCTGTGGTTATGTCAGACAGCTGACAAGTGTCAATTTGTTGTGAAGGTTAGGTAAGCATGTTTTTATTTACTTTTGATCATTATGAATTACAAATAGTTTTATTTCCGAATTTTTAAGAAAGGCGCAAAAGTTTTTAGTAAAATGAGCTGGAAAATATTTAAATTAAGGAACTGTTAGTTAAACTCTGTTGTTATTATACTTAACTACAGTATTGTAGGTACCTACTATACAGATATTGTAGGTAGGTATCTACCTACACAACATACCTATAAATATGTAGATATATGATAAGTACATAGGGATAGTTCTATTTTACTTTAAATAAAATATACTCATGTAAGTACCTACCTATTATAGTTAGAAACGTCTCGAGCCTTATAGATTTGGTGTGTACAGACGCAAGAGTTACTGATGTCAATGTGTACCCAATACAAGCTCTCGGTGCTCATGCATTTATTACAACTACTCTTCGTATAAAAAGGGAAAAAATCCGGCCTCGAATTGTAACTTATAGGGATATCAAAAACATTGACTTAGAAAATTTCAAAGAGGCTCTGGACGCGATCGACTGGCGTGGGGCAATTTCTTCTCATGACGTGGACTATGTGGTGTACTGTCTGACAAACAATTTACTGTGTCTGTTTGACACATTTGCACCTCGCAGGAGTGTTAAGATGAGGGATAGATCCTATCCGTGGATTACAGAAAACATTAAACTTATGATGAAACTACGAGACAAAGCCTATAGGGAATTCCGAATTAATAACACATTAACTCACAAAAAACAATACTACATGGATTTTAAGAGTCTAGTAACTAAATCAATTTACCTTGAAAAAGTAGCCTACTTCAAATCAAATATTAATAACAACATCAAACATCCGAAGAGGCTTTGGAAGAATTTAAAATCCACCTTGCTACCTCTAAAGTCTGATATTGAACTACCCGCACATTTCAATGACCCAAACAAAATAAATGATCATTTTTTGAATGTTCCCGGCGATACAATTACTACCCTGTCGACTTACACCTACTATGAATTTCATAGGTTCTCTGATTGCATCCTCTCCCTTAATACAACCGATGACATGAAGATTCTAAGGATAATAACCAGCATAAAATCAAATGCTGAAGGTTGTGACCAGATAGCACTGAATATGTTTTTGTTAACAATACCACAAACTTTGAATGTCCTGACGCGTATTATAAATGCCTCCATAGTAACGGCAACTTTTCCGGCCGCCTGGAAATTAGCTAAGGTACGTCCTCTACCCAAAGTAAACAATCCTGGCGATCTTAAAGATTTAAGGCCTATTAGCATTCTACCCTTAATGTCTAAGGTCTTGGAAAGGGTGGTAAACGAACAGGTCTCCAAATTTATAGAGGACAGCAGTGTTCTGCCGGATGCGCAATCTGGTTTTAGGAGGGGGCGTAGTACGGCCACGGCTTTGTTGGACGTCACTGACAATATACTGGCTGCGCAGGATGAGGGTTTGTGCACTATATTGGTCCTGCTGGATTTCTCGAGGGCATTTGATGCTATCAATTTATCTCTATTACTCTCTAAAATGGCGTACTACGGATTTGATATACCAACAATTAAATGGTTCGATAGTTACCTCAGCAACCGTGCGCAGCAGGTTGAATTTCGCGATGCTAATGGATCTTTCTTGGCTTCCGAGGTGAAACCTGTGACGAAGGGAGTTCCCCAAGGATCCATTTTAGGGCCTACCCTATTCCTATTATATTGTGCTGACATCATCAATATAATAAAAACATGCAAATATATCTACGCTGACGATATACAGATTTACTTGTCCTTTAGACCGGAAGAATACGCGAGTGCTGTAAATTCAATTAATGAGGACCTCGACAGGATAGTGAACTGGTCAAGCAGTAACTGCCTCATCTTAAATCCATCCAAAACAAAATTTATGCTTTTCGGAACAAAGACGCAACTTTACAAGACTCCTAGTAATATTAACGTTCTCTTGAGGGGTCAAATCATTGAGCGTGTCTATGAAGCGCGAAATTTGGGTCTGATAATGGATCAAGGTCTTAGGTTTGAGTCCCACATCTCTAACTGCGTCAGAAACTGTTTTTACCGCTTGAAGATACTTTACAGAATGCGCCCGTATCTAAGCGAGGAGTTGCGTGTGCGGCTGGTTGAGTCGTTGGTTTTATCCAAGCTAAACTACGCTGACGCGGTTATTGGACCTAGACTGTTTTCACGCACTGAGCGATTGATACAGAGGGTTCAGAACGCCTGCGCGCGTTTTTGTTTTAAAATTCCACCTAGGAGTCACATAACACCTTACTTAAACAAGTACAATCTTCTAAAAATGAAGTCCCGACGTAAGCTCCACCTGGCATGTCTCCTCTTTGGTGTGATTAAGTACAAGTGTCCAGCATACCTCTACTCGAAGCTCTCATGGGTGAATGCTCATCGGCAGCGGGAGGGTAGGCGGTGTGCACAACAGCTGGCTACACCGCAACACAAATCGGCTGCTTTTCGGGGTAGTTTCCGATATGCAGCTTCTAAGTGCTGGAACAACATACCTCCGCCAATCAGGAACCTGCAAAGCACTTTCACTTTTAAAAGAAAACTCAAGGAGTTTATTATTAACTCTCAAATTGAGAGTGAATCTATTAATATTGACATTTCGTTTATTTAATCTGACATTTATCCTTCTTTTTATTTTATTCGTATAATTGGGTACACAAATTATGTTAGTCACATTTTCATATTTATTTATTTTTATAATTATAATTATTTATTGCTTTCATTATTAATGTAACGTAGGATACCTCACATACTCACCCTCGAGCCCCTTGTTGTTGCGTCAGTGCTGGCGAAGTGTCGACCTGCTCGCTGTAACCTCTCGCAATGAGTGTCGGGCTGCGCGATAGCTTCACGACCACAACCTACCCACACTATTTTAATTGTCGTGATATATGTGGTTTATAATGTTTTTATTTTTCTTCTCTTCGGTGACGGTACACGTAGCACTAGTTTATGTATGTATACTTATTTTTTATTTATTTATTTATTTATCGCACAATGTGCACACACAGAGGTCTGTGTTTAAATAATATCTTCCTTTTCTTTTATTGTTTTAACATGAGTTATGTATTCCATTATTTTCCTTTAAATAATTTTTCGTTGCCTCCGTCCGTGCGTCACTGCAGGGGTGCCAACTGAAAACCAGTGTTGGGTACTTAGGGGAAAGGAAGGCAAAACGGACCCTGTGGGCAAAAAGGTCCACCTGGATTGTAATGAAACATGTAACGCCATCTATCTGATTGTTACGTGAAATTATTGGGAGCCATGTTGCCGCTTTCGGTCAGTGTACTCAGTTCCACCGGCCGCACGTGCATCGATTTAGCAAGGTAAGTTGATTTTTTTAGATTTTGATGTAAAAATTGCATTTTTCAATTAGCCTACAGTTTGATTAGGGTTGTAATAAAGTGATCTTATGATAACCACATGTAAACTGATATGTGATTAAACGAATAACAAAGTAAGCCAACTGTTTCTCAGATTTATAACCTTTAAATTATTCGATTTTCTTGTAAGTACCAAAAAGGCAAAACGGACCCAGCCAGAATGGACCGGTGTACCATTTTGCCTTCACTGGGACCGTTTTGCCTTCTATAAAGTAATGTGAATGTTAATAAATCTAAATGCAATAAAAGTAGAAGAAAATAATGTTTTCATTAATTTTTTTGATTTGGTTTCAGATGGTAAATAATTATAAAAGAAAATCCAATCGAAATTCCTGGGATGAAGCCAGCATGAAAAATGCAATTGAGAAAGTGGCAGCTGGAGAAATGGGCCTCAATAAAGCTTCTAATCAATTCCTGGTACCAAAGACTACTCTGAAGAGAAAATTAGAGAAATATAAGGCTACTCAAAATATTGATATTGCCACAAATAAGAAACTGGGTAGATTTGAACAAGTTTTTACTAAAGCTCAAGAGACTGAATTAGCTACTTATGTGAAACAGATGGAAAGTCGTTTGTTTGGATTAACCACGGAAAATCTAAAGAAGTTGGCATATGATCTAGCTGAGAGAAATAACATAAGTCACAATTTTGATACTTGCAAGAAGATGGCAGGTAGAATTTGGTTAGAAAACTTCTTAAAACGTAACCCAGATCTTAGCTTGCGTAAACCTGAACCAACATCTGCAGCCCGAGCAGCTGGCTTCAATCAAGTTGCAGTTAATAATTTTTTTGATTTGCTGTCACATGCAATTGAAACTTATCATCTGACTCCAGATAGAATTTTTAATGTAGATGAGACAGGAATCACAACAGTCCCCAAGAGTATATCAAGAATTATTGGCACAAGAGGGAAAAAACAAATCGGCTTATTAACTTCTGCTGAGCGGGGTCAACTAGTCACTGTAGTGTTTTGTTTTGGAGCAGATGGGTCCTATATGCCACCTTTGTTTATTTTTCCCCGTAAAAGGATGAAGCCTGAATTGATGAATAATGCACCTCGTGGATCTTGGGCTGAGTGCCACGAGAGTGGCTGGATTCAGAAAGATATTTTTACCTCTTCGTTTCGGAAATTCATTGTTTTTTCTAGAGCTTCTAAAGACAACCCGGTGCTGTTGATATTAGATGGACATAAAAGTCATACTATGAATCTGGCATTATTGATCTAGGGCGAGAGAATGGAGTCCAAATTTTGGCAACCCCACCGCACTGCACTCACCGTCTCCAACCATTGGATGTGGCTTTTATGAAACCTTTGTCTACTTATTACTCGGAAGCAGCACAGAATTGGTTGAGGATGAACCCAGGAAAAGTTATTACACAATTTCAGATTGCAGAATTGGTTGACAGAGCTTTTCAGAAAGCTGCTACAATGACAACTGCTTTCAATGCCTTTCGTGCCACAGGAATCTGGCCTTTAAATCGTGATATTTTCACAGAAGCTGACTTTTTAGCAGCAGCAACTACTGACATCGAGCTACCGAATCCAAGTTCGAACCCGTATTCCTCGACAGATGTTTCAAGCGCCAAAGATCCTCAGCTGTCAACATCAAAAGCTGGTCAGCCCTCACCACCAGTTTTGAGCACCGAAGATCTTCAGCCCTTAGTATCACGAGATAACCAGCCCTCGACATCAAGGGCTAACGAGGCAGCATACGATTTTGAAAATATTTCAGCATCCACTACTCCTTCCATCGAGGATATTGATTCAAGGGTGTCATCGCCGTCTATATTAAATGATAGTCAAATTGACAACCAACCTGCATTGCCTACCACTCCAACAAAAAATGCTGGCGAACTAACAGTTTCACGGCCATCACTTCTGAATGAAGGTGATACTGAACTTTCCACTTCCTCTACAATTATGGACAATGAAACTAGCAGTGTATTTCATTTCGGACCAAAAGATATAATGCCTTTCCCGAAAACAACTAAGACTAAAAGAGCCAACGTCAAACGAGGTAAAACAGCAATTATTACGTCATCACCCTACCGCTTTGAAGTGGAAGCTTCTCAAAATAAACAGGCTGAGAAGATCAAGAAAGCACTTATTTTCCAGAAAGGCATGAAACCCACAAAAAGAGAAGCAAAAAGTAAGACAGGAAAAAAGAAAATCAAGGAAAATAAACGAATAATTTCAAAAAAAGGAAAAGCTAGCAAGATGTCTGATGTAAAAAGGTCAAAAACTAAAAGCAATTATAGTTCATCTGAGGAAGATGACACTGAGTGTCTGTATTGTTCTCATTTGTACTCAGAATCAATCGGGGGTTGGGTGCAATGTCCAGTATGTCGTTTATGGGCACACTGCCTTTGCGCAGGAGTCGAAGATGAGGACGAGGAGACAGTATTTATGTGTGAAAAATGTGCTAACTGATTAATTTTATGTAAGTCCGTTTTGCCTTCATGTGTGGTCCATTTTGCCTACCACATGAAGGCAAAACGGACATATTGAAGGTATTAGAAATCAACTAATATCCTCATTGTCTGTGATTATATCAAAGTCTGATTCGTACCTAATGTAGAGTAAAGAATGTTGATTAATATTACTTTGAAGAAGTTTAATAAAACCTAATAGTTTCTTTTTTATAGTTGTTTTTTGTTAAGTGGTCCGCTTTGCCTTCCTTTCCCCTACTGTGCCCAGCTTATGCTGAGTTGGCGGGCCCTTTCGTCGTGGACATGCTGCCACCCGGTCTCTTTTTATTTTGCTTTTTTTTTTATATAATGTTTTTTTTGTTTTATTGTTGTTTTTTTTTTGTTATTTTATGTTTTTTATATTGTTTTATTTTCGGTGGTCCATGTCTGACAACGAATAAATTTATTTTTCTTTCTTTCTTTCTTTCAAACGTACAAACTTCGCCTATGTGGGAAACATTGTAGGAATAAATAATAATAATTATGTAATTTATATAAACATAATTAAATAAGATTACCTATTGTTTATTTTCCACATAGACCCAGAGAGTTTATCTTGTAAGTCGTAACTACATAACTTTATCTAAACAATAAACATGGCAGTGACCAACTGACCAATCATAACATCTGACCACGTTCCCGCCATTCGTCGGCATAGACCGCTCCATTTTTTTTCTGGAGTCAAGGCCTTGGGTGTATACAGCCGGCACACGGCACACAAGCTCTCGAACCAGCTTCGTTACACTACGTATTTATCTTTCGATTTTAAGATACGATATCTTTAGAGATTACATAAACAATGATTGCACATTATGTGGCAGTGTTGGCGTTAGTTGCTGTCACGTTACCGGCAAGTTGTGTCGCGAATAACACAATGACGAAGAATCTGAAAGTTTTGGTTTCGTCCAACGATTTTCCCGCCAGCGGGCTCAAGGTTTTGGAGGAACAGTGAGTACCTATTTATTTATTTTCAATTGTAATTATTTGTTTCATTCATTAAATCCATGTTTTATTTACATAAAACTCTTAAATAAAACTCGTATGTAGGGACATTAGAAATTCATTGTTTTAATTTAACAAATAAAAAATAATGATAATAGACCACTCTATGCGATGAGGGATGAGGGTGACCATTTTTTTTTGTACACGATGGTGTTGTCGTTCCATTTATAAGTGATGTACTGTAAAAATACCTAGGTAATACCTATATAAATATTATAACGATAATTGACTACTGATAGAAAATGAAATAGTGTTTTAAATTGTGTTATATGTAGGTATAGTGGAGACTTAATTGTCAATACACAAAAAAATAAGTTTTACCTATATAGCTATGCATTAAATCTAAAACTGCTAAACGTCCGTATATGCCAGTTGTTTCTCTTTAATTTTTATTTAACAAATCATTATCCTCCCGTGTTGTTAAGCATCGTGGTAACTTATTACCATCTGTATTTTATTAGGATAGTTTCAAAGCAGTGACACGGCTCGATTTCTTGAAACCAAATTTTGTGTTTTAATCAGAATTATTGTTAACTTTGGGTTTCGGATAGTGACGCCGTTAATTTTTTGCCATTTTATTTTGTAGAATCCACCCATCTTATATTTGCATGCCAAACGGGTAGAACAAAGAGATACAATATGTAACAAAAATAAATAACACCTTAGGCACTAATTATGTACTACACCTCTGTTCAGCAAATAAAGACATTTGATTTGGTTTTGATTTGATCTATGGAAGATATTACCTACATAGATAAAGGCATCAAGATATACTTCATAAAGTACCTACTTCTAAAAAACTACTTCATAAAGTATACCTTGATGCCTTTATTATTTGTTCTTAACACATAACTACGTGAAATAGTTAAAAGAAGTCGCGTCTGGAATCGTAGCTCGAAAATAACTGGATAGCTAGCAATGGTAACGACCTAGTAATGTGTCTACACAAGGCCACTTGAAGTTATTCACTCCAATCTGTCATTAAAAAAACTATATCTTACAGCAATTAATGTAAATGCCACAAGTAGGTAACTACTAGCAATTTTGTATCTAATAGATAGACTGGGTTTAGTGTTTCGAATTATTTGTAGTGTGGTCCATAATTCCTTATAACATAACTTCACGCGTTTTATCCCTCTAGGAGTAGGCAGAGGTGTACATTATGCCACTGTACAATGTAACACCCACTTTTCACTATTTATGTTATGAGTCCCATGTAATAGGGGGTGAGCCTATTGGCACATGCCATATACGGCATATAGCATGTAGCAAGCATGACATGGTATATCATATACCATATACATATAATTCCTGTTACATGTTATTATATCTTTAGGTATTCTCGTTTGCCAAAGAGAAAAAAAAATTTTAGGTAAGTATCGATTGAAATTTTCCTCAGGACAGGCTATTTTTAAGCCAAGATAATGAACGATTCCTATATTTATCTCACTTTATGCTTATGTTGACTGAGAATTAAGAAAAAATAAGAATTAAAAATATAATAAATCGTTATTATATCTTCCACTATTGCGTTTTAAAGGTTTGATTGGATTTTTATCCTATTGAACGCCAAAGCAAAAACACATGAACGTGCCCTCAACGCCAAGACACAAAATCCGCGCAAATTTCTACGAATGAAAATGTAAATAGGGATTCCAATTAGGCAATCAAATTGTTGATTTCGTGTTTCTGGTTCCGCTTATTCTGTCATGTATACAAATACGCAAATACAAATAGGTACTATAACAGTAGTTGGCACTCAAGAGATTAAAGATAATAATAAATCTTGATTTACTTACCAACTTCTGACCGCGGCTTCGTCCACGTTCCCGTGGGTTAAAAAGTAGCCTATGTGTTTTTCCAAACAATAATCTATTTCTGTTCCAAACATCCCGATCCCTTCAGCTGTTTTGACATCATCATCATCATCATCATCATCAGCCAATAAACGCCCACTGCTGGGCAAAGTCAAAATTGACGTGTAAAGTGCTGCCTTGTAGCCTATTTGCAGAAATAAATTCAAATAACTCGGAAAATGTCACATTGGTACTTGCCGTTGGTAGGTTTCGAACCCGCACCTTCATGCATGAGAAGTGGGCGTCTTAAACCTTCCACGACATTTTTACACACAAACACACACATACATCCCCACAAATTTTCGCATTTTTTATTTTAGTAGGATATTCTTTTTAGCTTGAGCATCCACGACACACTGTTTTGACACGGTAATAATATTACCGTGGTTTTGACATACACACTGAGTATTACATACGCACACATGGAGTTAATCATACACACAAACACTAACATAAGACCAAATTCACAAACTTTCGCATTTATAGTATTAGCTGTGATATTAGTAAGATCTTAGTAAATCTGTACCTACTTAATTTAATTGACCATTGTTTTACCACGGGTACCTAATTAGGCGAGTATTAGGTATTATTGCATTCGATACATAGACTTTATTTGTAGTACCATGGCTTTGTTTTATTCAATGCTTTACGAACTTTACGACTACTGATTAGCTATAGTGTGGGTAGGTACACGAACAGATAACCTTTTCCAGTATTGTTACAGAAATATTTGAACTAAATCACGATAGGTAAATTTTTTCTTGTGTAGATATAAGTTGCTACGTATGTTATTTTATGGTTGTTAGTCTCTTTGAAATAAGATATAAGTAGGTATTTTAGTTTGTCGTACCTTAAATACCTACGTACCTACCTCTTTTGCTTCATCAACAGACAACGCTTCATGCATGCTCGTCGGTTAAACTATCAAACACCAAGCGGTCACCGGTGACCGCAACCTATTGTTCTTTAATTGTGTCTATAATGACGGTACTCAACGAGTTAAGGGTACTTTTAATTTGGCCCTTCTTAATATATCGCCAATTTGGTCAGTATATGTCCGTCTAGGGCGCCCTCTACAGATGGCCCCAATCATATTCGCTCTGTATACTAATCTGCTTGTTTACCGGACTATCACATAAAAAAGCAATAGATAACGTCTTTTTTTTAAGGGGGTAAATCATCGAATGACTGCTCCCGCCTGGGTGAGGCGGGAGGGAGTGTCATACACTTACTGACTAAAAACCACCCTGTTCCTTCTCCTGCACGTCGAGCCGGAGCCCTGATAACACGTTAGGTTCTCCGCGACTCCGAATCAGCATCAGCCCTGTTGGGCCGACACATTTGTTTTACTTGACACGTGGGTTATTCCGTTTATGGTTTTTGTCACCATAATTTACTATGATTATATTGATTTCTATGACGTTTTTCTCTGATATCGTTATCAACTGTATTGTGAATTAATACACTACGGTCACTACAAAGCTGTACACAATAAGGTATAGGTACATCGATATTATGAACCTATACTTAAGCAAACGGGGTTTGTTACACGATTCTAACTTCATCTACCTTTCCTCTGCTGTAATGATGAAGAAGGTACTAATGGCCTACTTGTAACTTAATATCTTATATCAAACATGATCTGTCACTTTGAGCTGCAACTGGTTTATCAGATCTTGCGTGCGCCGGTTCCAAGGTCGAGGTGCAATGCATGCAATTGTCTTACTTTGGCATACAGTACTATTTCATTCTTTTTATGAGGAAATGCAGCGAAATACTGGATCAACTGATCAGAACATACGTTTCTTATAGTTGTTCCCTACCTTCCCTATCAGCTTCTTCAGTTTCTGTATCTGTTTATCCTACAAAAAAACTAATACTTGTATCAGTTTCACAGTTGTCCAGACGAAATACCTCAACTTTGGAGAGGAAGGCAGGACCCTGGCTAAGGAAGACCTCCTGAAACTCATCCCAGGAAGTTCAGCTCTAGTATGGCTTTCACACCATCCGATCTCCAAAGAACTATTGGACAGAGCTGGTAATTTGAATTTTGTTTATTTACCTACATACCTATTTGTAATACTGTTCCATTTTACGGGATAAAACTGCAAACAAGCAGACGGATCTCCGTAAAACAATCGGTGCTGCTAATGGACAATCGCAAAACCAAAGTGTCGATCTTTGGGGAGTTTAGGCATTCGGTAAGCTTGTTCACACGGCGTGAAACTGAGACTTTTAATAAGATGATGTCCCCTCAGTTGAGTCAGCCCATGCGTGTCGAAGTAGGGTTCTCCTAGAGTCCTCCTACTTCACTGCTATTTACATTTCGATGCAAGCGAAAATAAAAAAGATTGAAAGAGAGGTGGATGGAATCTAATCTAATAAGTCGACCTATTAAACTGTCAAACACCAAGCGGTCACCGGTCACCGCAACCTATTGTTCTTTAATTGTGTCTATAAATACGGTACTCGACGAGTTAAGTATAAAAAAACTGACAATCTTTTTTATTTTCTATAAAAACCATTTGTCACCCCCACCTTAGAACCTTATTAATAGGATTACCTACAATGTTTCCATTTCATTATTTCTTTAACATTTTTAATCCAGGAAGACGCCTTCTATAATTTCTATCTCTAATCTCAAGTTTTTGATCTCGACTCGAGTGGAAATCGTTTATCATGTTATCAAAGAACTCAGCGTTTGCATTCATATCTCACCATTGATAAGACAACTAAAACAATCGTCAACCGGTAAAACACTTGATGTTAAACAAGGCCCTTGTTTATTGATTTTAGTTTCAACCTTCAATTCAATTAAATATGTACTTATAGGTAGGTATGCTGACATATTTCGCATGTCCTCATTTCAATTCAATCACATTTTTTCTTTGTAGGTTACGTACCTACCTACTTAAATATTTTACATGTTAACATCTAATTGTTAACTTTCTATTCATTCTAGGTTTCTAGGTAGATACCAATTCTCTTTACTCGAATTTTTGCCATACCTTTAGTGATTGTCTATCTAAAATAAAAACATCCGGAATGACAAGCAGGACCAGATATTATACCAGATATTTTATTATTCATAAACTACAACTAGGTATTTGATAAAACATTAGAAACAATCAAAGAACAATGTTCCCAGAATGCATCCATCTTTTTAATTCGGAACCCCGTCATTAAACCAACTTATAAAAAGTAGGCTCTCAGTTTGACCTGTTAGTATGTTTGTCGATCATTAGCTGAACCTATTTTGATATGGTAGGAAAGTGTTTGTTACACCTAGGAGCAGGTATTTAGTACCTATTGGAAGGAAGTTGAAATCAGAATTTTAACATACTTCATTGAAAATTGACTGCCTCGTTGGCCGAGTGGTCGTTAGTGCGACTGCCGGGCAAAGGGTCTCGGGTTCGATTCCCGGGTTGGGCAAAGTATTACTGGGTTTTTAAATATTCTCAGTAGTATCACGGAGTCTGGAATTGTGCCCGGTATATGGCAATAGGCTCACCCCCTATTACATGGGACTCATAACATAAATAGTGAAAAGTGGGTGTTACATTGTACAGTGGTATAATGTGCACCTCTGCCTACCCCTTCGGGGATAAAAAGGCGTGACGTTATGTTATGTTCATTGAAAATTATTTTCAGGTCCCCAACTGAAGCTGGTCGCGACAGTCTCGGCTGGATACAACCACTGCAACTTAGATGAGCTCAAAGCGAGAGGCATTAAGTTATCCAACACCCCTAATGTCCTGGCGTCAGCTGTCGCAGAGATCGCTGTGGGTCTCATGCTGGGAGCAGCCAGGAGATTCACTGAGAACTTGGATCAAGTTCACAAGTAAGGCTTTCAATAATGCATAAATGTAGACTATAGCCCTAAGCAAGGATTGATTTTATAAAATTACAGCCACAGATATTACTAAAATAAATCTCTATTCCATTATTTCGATAGTGTTCCGCTATTTAGATAGTGTCACTGATAATGAGTAGTGTCGTTACATAATTCGTATATGTATAATGTAGTTCGCTACATAACGATACTACTCATTATCAGTGATATCATAAACATGACGTATGTGAGATATGACGTTAATGTAATTTTTTTCCCTAATCCATTGCAACTGAATGCACGTCAGCATAGATGCTGATTAACTCACAAGCATGTACTAGAGTGACTATCAATCGTCATATATTGAATCTTGATAACCAATTTTGTTCCAGGTATGTTGATATCTAATAGTAATAAACAGCAGTACCTACATGCCTACCTAGATCTAGATATATATTTACCTAGATTATTGTACACACACACACACACACACGTGTTATTTTCAGCGATGAGGAAAAATGCTAGTTTTTTAATTATACATCATTATCATTCGGAATACGTCCACTACGCACTGAACAAAGGCTTTCCCTTAGAAAGAGGTTCCTCTTGCTCTTGCAGGACCTTAGTGGACATACTTAATCATTAAAACTAATTTTGGAAGTGGCATTTTAACACTAATATCTTATTAAAGGTGCTTCGAGTTATCATAATAGTTTAGGTACTTCATTTGTTAACTATTTTCTTTTTCAGGGGAGATTGGGAGATAGGTTTCGACAAAGTCCTCGGTCAGGACATCCGCGGTAGCACCGTGGGCATCATCGGTTTGGGAGGTATCGGTCAGGCTGTGGTCAAGCGTCTCGCTGGATTTGAAGTCAGCAAGTTTGTTTACACCGGCCACAGGGAGAAACCTGAAGGTATACCTACATTATATAATACTGCCTTTTTATTCCCGAAGCCGTGCAAGGTTAACTTGTGCCAATTATTGCCAGTTGTGATTGTGGTTTGAGTGCCAATTTAGCCTATTTCTATTCGCAGACCCCATTTCAGACTCGATGCCTTATTTACTTATTAACTGCTAATTTTAAAATAATTGGAAACTAATTTTACACCTTGGTTGGTAGTCTTTCGAGCGACCAATGTTAGTACATTACAGCGAGGTAGCCCAAAAAAGAACCTATACCCAGTTGTCTTCTTACAAAGTATTTCAACGACTTTAAGGTATTAGAACTCTGACGAAAACTCTGATCTTCCTCTTTTCCTTTTCCAGCCAAGGCTTTGGGCGCAGAATTCGTAACTCAGGACCAATTGCTGGCCCAAAGTGACTTCATAGTACTAGCGGTGCCACTGACAAATGAGACCAAACATATGATCAACAAGGATACCCTCGGGAAAATGAAGAGCAATGCCATCGTCATCAATGTAGGGCGTGGAGGTAAGATTCATTTAAGTTGAAGATTTTGTACCAATTTGTTAATAACACCAAGTTAGGCCGTCATCTTTAGTTAGAAGATATTTGTTGCTGAACAGAAGCCTTCCCTTTTAAGACTTTTGCCTTAGAGACACAGAAGTTTCTCTAGAAGTTATCGAAATTTTAGAGAACGCTGCTAACTATCTTTTTTCCATCGGATACGTACCAATTTGGACGGTTATATGGAATTAAGTAGGTACCTAAGAAAGATCCAAGAGAACCTAACGGGTAAACGGGGCTCCGGCTCGACGTGCAGGAGAAGGAACAGGTGGTTTTTAGTCAGTAAGAGTCTGACACTCCCTCCCGCCTCACCCAGGCGGGAGCAGTCATTCGATGATTTTCACCCCGTAAAAAAAGTCGGTTAGTCCACTTTCGGAATATTACATGACGCTACGACAAAGACTAAATGTAACGCGATTTATTAACAATTCTAACTATTGTTTGTTTCGTTATTTAGACCTGGTTGATCAAGAAGCCTTGTATGACGCGCTGAAGAACAAGCAGATCTACGCTGCTGGACTTGACGTCACCACACCCGAACCTCTGCCGAAAGATCACAAGCTACTCACACTGCCCAACTTGTGTAAGTATTTAAATGAATCTTATCTAATACTATGATATAAAGCGGAAAAGTTTTTTTTTTGTTTGTTTGTTTGAACGCGCTAATCTCCGTAACTACAAGTCTGATTTGAATAATTATTTTTATGTTGGATAGCGCATTAATCGAGCATGGCTATAGGCTATTAAACATCACACTACGACTAATAGGAGCTGAGCAGAGCGTGTGAAACCGCGCGGAAGTAGCAAGTTATAATAATAAATGAAACCTATCAATAATCTTGGACTCTTGGTTACTTAGAGAAACATAATAACGTCCCCTATTTCAATCTCAGGTAGATGTGTGCCACATTAAATGTAATCGCCGACTTTTTGCTAGTTGTTTCCGAATCCCGTGTGCTTTAATGGGCAGGCCTGTTGGACTTATTGGATATTTTACCTGACTCCACGTTACTAATACGAAATAACATAAATCGAAAAGGCCTTTATTACTCTCTGTCTTGGGAACCAACGAAACACTTAGTTTTAAAACGTTTATTTAATTTTATTATTTTATATTTTTAGTCGTTCTCCCACACATCGGCAGCGCAACAGTGCGTACTCGCAGTGACATGGCGGTACTGGCCGCTAACAACGTAGTCAACGCTCTGACTGGCAAACCTCTCCTTACTCCTGTCAATCTATGATCGGATTGTCTCTGGTTTATCACGTAAAAGAGGTTTTATACCCTCTAATGCCTAGTGTTCTGTTATCTGGCTAATCTGGCTCCTAAACAACATTGTGATAATTATCTTAGCAAATAAATTAATAAATAATTAATTTCAGCTATAGTACAGACTTTAATGTCTTCTTTAAAATATTGTATCCTATAAGGCCTTGTAATAAGGGTTCATACCGAGCACATACCGAGGGTTCTAAAACAGTGTTCATTCACTACATTTGCTATGTAATAGATGTCTTTACTAAAATGTATTGCCAGATTATAATTATAAAATGTTAACAGCTGTAATATAAATAGTGATGTGGTAAAAAACCAATACTGTAAATAAAATCTGCTTACAAAATACAAATTTGGCTTTTATTTCTGCTTAAGTTTAAGGCTATAAATATAATATCTATACTTTTATACTTAATTATAAACAATTACTTAAGATTTCAATTTAAGTAAGTCTGTTTACAAAACAAAATCAATTTTTTGCCTCGAATAAGTAAATAATAATGTTGATAAATTTTCATGTGTCAAATAGATGTAGAATATTAACATCCTTACATAATATGTATATTTTTCTATTATAAATACATGAAACATATATTTTTGTTTACTCCATACAAAAATAACAATGTCTAATGTCTCTTAGAGAGAACTTAAATGTTATTTTAATAAAAATTAAAATGAAATGGCATTATATTAAGGGGCATCTGCTACTACCGCTGCTAAATCCTTTAGAAAAGGTTCTATTTGACTTTCCAGAGACAATATATGGCCAGTGTTGCAATTATCGCTACCAATAAATGTGACAACTAAAGGTAGCTTGTTCATTTGTATTACCTGCAAAAAAGAATATTAATTTTGAGATCATAATTAGATAATATTATAGAATGATATTGAGAGGTGTAGTCTGTTTGAATTAATTAAGTACAAACAACAAATGTAGGAATTTTTACATGGTTTGGCACTGATGAACTAAAGGTCAATGCAGACAGACCAACGGCTTAAAAGTAAACTCTGTAATGTATTAGGGCTTAAATATAAAATGTGTTTATACAAATACTATAGGAAAGTTTGAACATGAACATTTGAAACACAAAATTATGCTGATGTAATATAAAATGTACCGTCAAACCTCTATCAACTTTATCTATTTAGTTAAATGATGGTTACTCATAACAAATAATTAATATTCAAGCAACTGCCTAGTATGTAGTTAATATTAAGTTTTCAGGTCAATCTTTTTACAAAATAAAATCTGTGACTTTATTATTTTGTGCTTAAGAAATTGTAACTCACCTGGTAACTAGAATACATTGAAATAATTGTCTTATTTCTTCCTAGGCCGAGTTTGCTTGCTTGGTCAGTCGCCATACCAAATGTTGATATGAAATTAGGCCTCAATGCTAACTGCGGAGCCCTCTCTGTGACTGCTCTAACAAGAGGCACGCCATCACGATCAGTTATAAGGATACAGTGAAGCCCGTTCACCCTAAAAAGAATAGGTATCATACAAAGATTAGACAATTCCAACAGGTTTTGTTATCATAATAACGAGTTCCTACAACACTTACTTTTCCAGTAGATGATTCAAATATTTCCTTAGGTCGTCAACCATTTCTTTCAAATTAAAATTATTAAATATTTACAAAACAAACTGAATTATTTATTGAATCGAAATGAAAAACAATGAGCCACCTATATCAACGTACGATTGACATTGACAGGACAACCTGACAGTTGACATTTGTCATGATCACGCTTGTCATCTGCGTTGATGTTTTGATTCTGTAAAATCCGTACAAAGTCGTCATAGACAAAATTATTTCTCCTCATTATTTCCGTAGGTTCTTATGATTCCATTGGATGGTTTAAGTTATTTACGTTGGACCCCTCTTTTATTATAGTCACGTAGTATTATAGTAACAGTATCACGCCTGATTAGCGTGTAAATTATGTCCAATTAGTTAATAAAAAAAAAATACGAAACCACTTGTTGGTAGTGTAGTCAATGAGTCAAGTGGCAGCAGGCAGAAAAACATTGTCAAATTTGTCAATTGTCTATAGCCAAAATGGCAGAATCGGATTGACAAGTCGTGCAATTTTCGTAATTTATTTTTGGGTGCAATAATTATTGCCTTTGTACTTTTTAGGTGTTTTCCGCCGCACTTTAAAAGGCATAAAATATACATACTGTTTTGTGTTCAAATAACTGTGCTTTCTATCTGTTCATGCGTATGTTGCAATTTCACGAAATATCAAGCTTTGGTATGATAACAAAAGATATAAAAATTCAGCCTTGTCTCGGTATGTGCTCTTTTTCGTCATGTGTGTATCGCCGGGATTAACATAGCATGAATGGTCTCTGGCGCGAAGACTCGGGTATGTATACGTAACTGTCCAGAATCGTGATTTTTGGGATTGTGACGTCACAAAATAGACAAGACGTTATTTACAGTGCAAATTAGGTAATAAAATGTTTTATTGTTTTCACCGGTGAGTAGCCTAATATTTGTTGCGCTCCGGTGAGGACGGAATTCGCGGCGTAGCGGTGGGCCTCCGCTAGGATGGGCGGCGATGTCTGCCCCCTCTGAGAGCGCAGCGAGCCCTGCACCGTGCGCATGCACCAATATATCGCTTATGCAATTGTTCCATGAGCTCAAACAGAAGTTTCCTGGAGTACCTGATCATGTTGTTTCAAACACGATCGAATTGTACTGTCACGATAAACAAGCCTGCGAGAAACATCTCCACAGTGAAGTCAAGGCCTCCCTAACGCATGCCTACCATGCCTCCTCGTCGGCAGCCGCGCGCCAGCTCAATGAACTCAGGCTCAACCTGCCCATCAAGTGTCGCAACCAGCCCATAGTGAAGCATGAAGCTGTCAAATCTACAGCACTCAAATCTATCACTTGTGATGGCCCTCAGAAAGCGATACTGAGCTCTGTTACTGAAACAACTGAAAAACCAACTAAGCTAAACACTGATGCCAATCAAAATATTGTGGAAACAAAAAATGAGGAAACCAATAGGAGCAACAACAACATATCGCCAGTCACTGTAATCAATATTGACAACTGTTATGCAAAGTACAACGCTGAGTCTCCTAGTGACTTGGAGCTAACAAACGAGAACTCGAAAGAAGAGAAAGTTGTACAGTCACAAGAAGAAAAACTTGTTTCTCCACAACCAGAAGAAAAAGACCTTGAACAACCAGAAAGTACCAACTATAAGATTTTAAAGAGTCATAAAATTAAAAATAACTTACATGAAAGATTAGAAAAAGGAAAGGAGAAGAAAACTATTAAAAAAGAGGAGACTCAACCTAAACAAGTGAGCCCACAAGAAAAGCCAAAGCGGCCCAACACATTAGATTTCATTAAACCAAATCCAGATATTGCATTTAAACAGACATTAAAGGAACCAGAGGTTGATACTTGTAGGACAGTGTCACCAGCTCCATCTGTGGTGAAAGAAAGTCAGCCTAAGGAAAACAAAAGTAATACAAATTTCAGACCAGAACGGGGCTACCCGTTAAACTTGTCAGTTAATGTCAATTGTCATATGGACTTGAGTCGTGCTTATGGTGATCCTTGGTTAGAAGATTATGATAGCCCGAGAGCTATAACATCTGTGAATTTAACTGTTTGTACTCCAACCTCAAATATGGCTAGTCCTGTAAGAGATACGCGGGAAGATGACGGGGGTTTCGAGGGTCACGTGACAGTGACGGTGAGCCCGAGCACCACGCGGCCCCCTCGTCGCAGGGCTCCACCGCCGCCTCCGCATCCTTCGCGGATCGAGTCACCAAGACCCAGCAGATCAGCGCCTGAACCCCCGGGATCTATTACTATTGGTAAGTTGTTTGATTTTTTTTTAGAATACAGGGCCATAATTAATTATGTTTTTAACGAATTTCATGAAACTTACTAAAAGCAGGATCAGAGCAATTCTATCCATTTTTTCATAAATTAAATACCTGTCTACTAACCAATATTTACTGATTTAAGTAAACTCGCTAAACTGGTGAGCTTTATTTGTATTCGATTTATAAACCAGTTTACCAGTTTAGCAAGTTTTAAAGTTGCATTTATTTAAAAATACATTTGATTAAGGGGAAAGGCCTAATTTTCAATGTTTTTTCCAGTTAAGAGCTAAAAGAAACAATCTTGTCTTGTTTATACACATTTCCTAAGGTTGAACTAGTTGAATCCAGTTCTCTACCGTCAGTGGTTCAAAGATTTACTAAATGTAAATATTTGTAACTATGTAGCAAAGCTTAATTTATTTATAATCTGGTTTTTATTAACCGTCTTAAATAATGTACTTAAATAAAGTAATGATTCATAGAAAGCTGATAATCTTTAAAAATTGTCAATACATACAATGACTAATAATCTAATTACATTACTCAATTGAGTAATTTACTATCTATTTATGGATTTGATAATAAGTCTAAAAATAAATGTATTTGTCTCCTAAAACTCTTATGACTAATAGATAGTTGAAAAACACTGCATAGGCGATGCGAATCTTAAACGTCATTTGAGGAAAAATAAGTGATAAAATCCAAATGCAGTGACCTGATTGAAACTATAGTTGCTAATTAGAAATTCATAACTACCGCTAGTCCACGCGAGGGGGAATTTTGCTTTGTTTTTTGTTTGGAGAGGTAAATCAACACTGCAATAAACAAACCGAGTGGAGTCGTCGACTCCAGGTTCCCCCAACATGTTAGGTGTTTTTTTTATGTTTAGTCAAATGTGCAATGTGTCTATTGAATCGAAATGTCTGTTGTCTAATCTGAAGTCAATCATCGCATGTGTGCGAATAATCAAGTTTTATTCATACGACAAAAATATATCTCATTGCATCAGTTATGCCCTTTGAACAAGAAAATCGAACTGCTCCGAAAACCTTAAAAACTTGTGATTCTTCCGGTGTGTTTTTGGTCAACAAAAACTTCACAAGAAAGAGAAAAACTTTATTTCACGTCAAAAAATACGTGACATGTACAAATAAGTCATTCTATTAGTAGGAACTGATGGATACACGTTCATGTCCCAAGTCTGCAGTAAAATGGGACCAGTTCAGCGTACGTGCAAGACACGGCCTTGTGCTGGTATTCTATTGGCCCCTTAAGTGACTCGCGGACGAACATCCTTATAATGTGGTGTTTCTGACCTGTTAATGTTGCGAAGTCAATGTGGTCAAAATATAAACTACAGGACACTTCTTTTATTTACCGTCATAGATATCCCCCTATAAAATAAAACAAATTGGAACAGCTGAAGGCATTATTTGACAAAAACGCCGTAAAGCCATAATTGCTTGCGACATTTTGCGTTCACAAAATGCACATAAAAAGCGTAGGCGCATAATTTATATGCTCTTATTGTGCACGCAACATATCGCAGGTGAAAAGTTTTATTTTGTTTGGACAGTCTCATAGATAACTTGTATCTTTTTATTATTTTACGTTACAAATCTGTATATTTTCGTTTCGGTACAAACACTCGCGTCATAGGTTTTGAATAAATCATGCTTGTTAAATCTGTGTACAACACGTATAATATTTACATCCCATTTGAGCCACTGGATGACTTTTACCGACTTATAGTACCGGCTGATTCTTGCTTGTTATTCCGATATCACTGTATATTTGAATAAGTATTGTAAGCAGTAGTCATGATTATTTTAAACTTTATAGATCGTGCCTTGATCGAGCGTCAAAAAGAAAGGCTCGAACGACTAGCGATGGCGCTGGCGCAGGAGAAGGGGCGGCTCACCCAGCTGACGAAGGAAACGCGGATACTGGCTGGGCCGCCCCCCACCGTGTCGGCGACGCAACGGCTTCGTGACGACGTCGAGCGACTGCGGAACCAATGCGGCACCCTTGCAAAAAGACTGGAGATGTCTGGTCATGGTACGAAATTATTTTTACATTCATCCTTGATTTTGTAGTTTGTACTGACATTACTAACTTTTACTAACATTATGTGGGGCTTAGGTAAGAGTTTACCTAACTTACTGCACTTGCTAGAACTCTGAACATGTAGTCTTTTGGTGGTATCGACGCGCACTAGATTTTAAATATAAGTGGTTTTCAGTAGAATTAAATGTAGGTCGCCTAAACTCTCGCTTCATCTTCCAAATTACACATTTTTTACTTGGATGCTTCACAAACATTTTTAGCGTTAAATACATCATAATAAGTTTGGCAAATAAAACGGGCAAAAACTCCACCATTGGTTCACTGATAACGCATGTTATGTATGTATTAGGGGGCGAGCCTATCGCGATCTATCAACCATATTTCCGAGAAGTGTTATCATAGAGTATATTTTTAAAACAACATCTACTTTTCATTTCGGTACCTTCGCTTACATATAGCATGATGCCCTCTAGCTTTTCTAACCTAATTAACCTTTCACAGCTGGACTCGTAGACACTTCTGGCACCATGTTGGGTAGCACGATTGATGAGCCCTGACTCGTTCCTCGCACCGCTGACTGCGATACCCGTCACTATAGGTTGAGGTGCTTGGCCTAATTTGAATGTTATCTTGCTTGCTCATTCAAAACCTTGATCGGCCAATAGCGCAGTGAATCAGAATAGGAAACTAGGAGCCTGTGTTGACTTCAAGATATAAGGGTTAGCGATCTCAAATGTTTACCCTTAACAAATTCCAGAGCCGGACGACGCTGGGAACTTCTACAGCAACATCTACACGGGGCAGCGACCCTCGTCCTCCTGGCAGTGCCACATGTGCACGTTCAGGAACCATCCGCTCCTCGACAAGTGCGAGGAGTGCGACATGCCGCGGATATTCGTAGGTACGTCTCCCCCTAAGACGCACGACTCGGGCTTCGGCTCATTCCGGGATAGGAACCGGCGCGGCGCCGCCTCCATCGATGATCTTCCCCACTCACTAACACAGACTCAGTCGGCCTAGCCCGACGACAGCGCAGGACGCTAATCAATCCTCATTATTGCCTTATTCAGTGCCTATAGTGTAAAAACAGTGCTTGAGTGTATCAGTGTTTTAAACTTTATAAACTCGTGTGCGTTTGAAGTGTCCAGACTTGAGGCTAATATGAACAGTGTTGTGCTTAAGACTCACCCAGCATGTTACTGTTGGAATGCAAACTTTATTATTAACAATGAAAATACCAACGATGTGATGAACTATGTACCTCTGTTGGTAGTTTCACATCTCGATTTATTATTCCTTTCATTATTTAAGAATCATATTTGTGTACTTGGACTTTTTGAACGTTATTCTCTTGTACGTAGAGCAGAAAATTCAGTGATTGGCAGCAGTGTTAAATTTTATGGACTTAATATTTTTCTGTTCTAAGTATAATTGTGCAAATATGATCCTCGCATGTGTGTTCGTCTATTTTTTATATGCGACTGGATTAATATACGACTTATTCTCGTGTAAAATACTGAGAAATCTTATAAACAATTGTGGACGGTTATCCGACATACACACGTGTACTTGATAGACTGTGATTAATACTAGTTCGTGGTATTAGTGGATACGATTCAACAAAGCACCTTCAAATAATAAACATATCGAATGGTTTAACGCACATAATAAACAATAGTGACTTCGAGAAAGTGACTCACTATCATCTAACTGCGATTTTCTCTTAGTAGTTTCTGCTCTATAATGATGATTGCCTTGAAACTAAGGTTATTCGACGCGAATTGTGAATTGTTTGCACATGGATTTCATTAAATTAACTTTAAATGGTGTCTTCTGACTGGCCAGTGCAAACTAAGGGAGATTAACAAATAGCCTTGTCTTATCAATGAGACGCTTCCAAGATTTTAGGTAACAAAACAGACATTAAACGTATTTAATCGATATCATACCAAGATGTAGGTATCTTTAGTCTTAGAGTACTCATTAATTAACAAAAATTCGTCAAGGCAACACTTAAATTACTAAGTATGCCTACGTACTTAAGAGCACCTTTACTAATACGATAACGCAACTTAGACATGTGAAATGTTTCCGACATCTATTTGCTATCAGAAACAAGTCAAAAAGCCTTTTTAAAACCTCTCCTTGTCCAATCAGATAGCTTTTACTGGTTCCGAAATGTGTACTTAAGTGCATTTTCAAAAAAATTTATAGGTAACTAGAACAGCAATGTATTACCTAATTGTATTGTCTTATCATGTGAAATAAATCAGCCAATATAATACATAGTAACATAAACATAAGTTATCTTTTGCAAAGATATCGTCGATTCAGATAAAAGTGTTACCGGAAATCGTCAAATATTTTCGTAGTACAATCGAACTAAACTGATTGTAACCAGGTACAATAATGCTACCAGGCGGTGTTAAAACAATGGTGCGCTGTCTCTGTCACTTTAAACTGTTATAAAAGAGACGAAATATTTTAAATTTGGAATTATTTAGCATTTAGGACATGAATATAAAAATTAGGCACTTTAACTTTTCAATCTATAGTCTAACAGTACATTTGTTGACAGTACATTTGTAGGTGATGTACCGTCGACCTATCTTGCAAAACATTCACGCACTTAATACGTCACATATAATTGTAAATATAAATACGCTGCGATTTTAGACCTTATTGCAAAGAGAAGTTGTTTGACCTCGCAGAAATGTTGGTCTTTTTTTCTATAGTCCGTGAGTCATCATTGAGTTGAATCTTGTATGCGTCTGTAGGTATAGAAAAGTTGTGTAATGCCGTTGCAGCAATTGTTACGAAATATGTTGACGAAACGTTGCTATGACGACGTTATGTTTTTAATTACTTCACGCAATGGACAAAGGCAAACCTTATAAATAAAGTCTTTTGTGTCATAGATAGTTCCTAGATACTAACGTTTAAGCGATATAAATAAAAGCCACAAAAACTGAACATCACAAACGTAATTAATGCCTTATCTGAAAATTAAACGTTAATCTTTCAGGAAGCAATGGTTTGTACGCTGTGTTTCGTTTGATAACCGTCTTAACAGAGATTTTGTAAAATATTTTGTTTATCTAGCGTTTAGGTAAAAAGAAATTATTAGATTTTATTAAAATGAAATGTATTTATTGTTTTACTTAATTAAATTTTATTAGGCAGACTAAACATCACTTGTTGACTGGTCAAACGGTGAGACATCACAGGATCTCGTTAAAAGACTATTTTATTGCGCCTTGCCAAAAATGTATCATAAAAATTATTTATTGCCCTTGGAAAAAAATACATGCGCCGTTTCTTCGATTTTTGCTCAAATTATCTTGCTCAGTATTCATGATAACAGATTCACAAATAAAGTGGCTGAATGGCCTATCGGCCATTCAGCCTGACAAGCACTTGAAAATGGCTACACGAGCCAGTGTATACAGGCCTAAAAAATAATCAAGCGAAATAATACATAGTTAGTATAACGATTAATTTTAATAAATACGTCAGACAGGTATAGTTGTTGCATATTCGAATTTAACTGTGATAGGCATAGGGTTTCAAGTTGAATGATAACTATTACATTTTTTACTACACTATTCAGTAGATTTAAAGATGATTCAAGTCACTTAGCACCACCGTTCTATATTCTCTTTAAATAGTACAATCAACAAAATTGTTACTGTACCCAGATTTTGGCAATGGACTTGCCCCTTTCCATAAAAGGTATAGAAAACAAAGGGCAAAAATAATCTACTTAGTTTTTCCTTTTTTCTGCTATTTTCTGTAAAAAGAGTAATATAACTTCCACGATTATGAAAAATCCACAAATTTTGATGTTCATATAAAAGTAGTCTCTAAACATCGGAAATAAGGTATATAAAGGAGTAAGTGGAAAGTGGTCACCGGTGACCGCTTGGGGACGGGGCAGTTAATACCTGCTATAGAAAATAACATAATTGAATTTCAATTCTTTACATTATGGTAATATTTTTAATATAATGATTTCAATAAAATCAATAAAAAATTAATGTGAAAATTCCAAATTATTGTGATAAAAATCGGCCTTAATATTAGGAAATGAAAATATTTATAGAAAATTATTTAAAATAATAAATATAAATAAATTTTGTAAAAATGATTGCACTAGACTTATGTAGATATTTGAATTATTGTGGTGACTTGAATTTTAGGCGTAATTTGTTAAATATAGGTGTTATATCAATTGTGATCAATTTTTTATTGTATATGAGAGAATAAATGAGATGTTTATTATTAAAGTATGTTTATTTTACTTTGTAATGTTAAAATTTTGATCAAACTCCTATTTACGCGATCTTTGCCATATAAAAATGAGTGTTGTCAGTATGATTGGTGAACATTTAATTATACCATTTTCTGTGATCCATAGACAAAATAAAAAAGTTGGCATAAGGTTAATTACCATAATGTTGTCATATTATAGTAATAGGCAAAGAGCACGTAATAATTAATTAATTTCTTCGATTGATTAATTTGACTTTTTTTTTGTTTTTGAAGAAATTAAAACGAAAAATAAGGTAAGTTATTTTGTGTTTTTGCTCTAAATAATGTTTAACATGAATGTCGTGCAGTGGAATGCTGTGTTTCGTTTTTTTTCTCTTTAGCAAAGCTTTTTGTTTCCTTTTCTGAACTTTTTCTAATTTTTATTGTTTATTTGTATTTGTTTTTCAAGCAGTTCGGGCACCTGACGGGATTACAGTTCGATTAATGCCAGGACGGCGGAGTAAGTACTTCTAATTACTTGCTGAAATAATATTCCATAACTATGGAGAGAATTAAAAACCTATTTGAAAAAGTCACTAAGTTTTCCTAATATTCCCCAATGATTTTTACACAAAATTAAAGTATTTTTGTCTCTTTTCAGAAATAACACGCTCTTGGGTCTTATGAGATGCGGTCGGGGTTCGAATAGTCGTACGTATTGAGGCTTGATCGCGTTGGACCCCAATTCATTCTTCCACACCATTCAATCGTTCATTCAATACACGCCTACAGATCTTGGTACTTAAACTGGCATCTGTAGGTGTGGTTTCATTAGCGTTTAGCGCGATCTACCCTTAAGTGCAGTAGTACAAATCCTATCTGTGATATTCGCATTTGGTAATTAGAAAGTCTGATTTTTACTTTTATAGTTTAAAAAAAAAACTATTTAATTTTTATTTTTTGATTTTAACACATTCCAAAGACCCAGTAATTCGATCATGTTGTTATGTTCTTTCCTGTTCTCATTGAGTGCTCTGTTGTACCAAATGCGGATAACTAGAAAAGTTATTTACATTTTAACACTGCTGCACTTAAGGCGGATAGGGAAGGTATTAACTTTAAATTTATACGAAAATTTGTAAAAAAATGTGTCGTTCTTTACAAATATCAAGATTGATAAGTACAGTATTCTTATACTGCGGCAAAACAGCCTTTATTGCAATGTTATAAGTGCTATCTGGATACAAATTACAAATGTATTATTTTAGAAGATAATCTAGCTTTCATTGAAAATTGTGCAAAGGAATTTATACTTAAAACAGTAATCGTTAAATTCAAATTCCTGTGATTTAAATAAACTATTCTTAGTCCTACTAATACACATCGCATTTATAGCAAACCGCAAAATGTGATTTCTGTCAGCAATATTTCTTAAGGTCAGTTCAAAAATATGCCTTAATTGTACTGTTTTAGGGGTTATTTTATTATGCATGAATTTAGTAATCTCAGTATTATTTTGTAGCTTAGACTACAATCCCTTGGAATTTCCAAACACCGTTAGCAAGACAATTCACTAAGACAAATCTTTATGCCACATTATTTAAGGTTGATATTGGAATCTAATTTCTGAACAAAACATAAAATGCTAATGAGCTCAGACAATAGGAAACTGTTGCCGTTCTTGAAAAACTTATAATCAGCTGCAAAACGATTGTACGTAAATGTGTCTTCATTTTGTTCAGGCACAAATACAATCACGTACGATAACC